TCATCATTTACCCAGAATGCTTTGTGTGTAAATAAAATGGCTCCGTGCATCAGACGTGTTTCCATCAACTGGCTTGGAGCGAATCAACCAGGATACGCAGACGGTGACATTACGCATGGCTGCAGCAAACAGAAAGTAGTAAACAGGAAGTAAACTCACAGGGACACGTCTCAGGACGATGGAAAGAAGTTATCAGGAACGTGTTGCTACGATCAGGAAAGTTATATCAACTAGTACTGCTGTCTGGAGACGTAGAGAGAGAAATGTAATTCTCCTCACATTACGGGAATCTCCAGGAAGACGCAGACAGGAGGAGGGGCCAGCTGCTGGCCCCTCCTCCTGTCTGCGTCTTCCTGGAGGAGGGGCCAGCTGCAGCTGCTACATTTATTGGACAGCAGGAACAGCAGATCGAGGTGAATGTTCGCTACGTAAGAACATATTCAGAAAATGTGTTTCCATTAACGTGTCTGAAAAACCAAAAGGCTAGCGCAAAAACTTTTTTGCGTAATTAAGGAAGTTTTTGCAAATTTTTGCAGTTTAATGCAACATTTCAAAATGCGCATAAAAAACAATGGAAACACGGCTTATAATTAAAAATTTAAAACAAGTTTGATGTTTTATTTCACGCGATCTGAAGCAGTTTGCGTGTCATAGGCCGTACGAATAAAATAAAAACACTTACGATATTGATCATGGCTGCCAGGAAGTTGATAAGAATGGAGACGAAGATGATGACGTTCCGCGCCGCGTACGTCTCGTTTATCCAGCAGCAGGCCTTCCTCAGGACCAGAGGCAGACATTTATAATCCTCTGCCGTCGTGACGAGGACCAGGCAGGAGTGGAGGACGATGAGGACCGAAAACTGGATCACCATGGTGACCATCCTGCGTAAAACAAGACGAGAGACGCAGAATCAGAACAAAGGCCCGGATTTTTAATTTAAATGTAAAACATTCTATTTTAAACTTTTTAGCTTTTTTTGAGCAGGTTTGCAGAACTGAAATGAAGAAAAGAGTTGGGGGAAAAAGCAAAATAAAGTAATTAAAAAACAACCTTTTTTCCTGGTAAAGACCTTAATTGGTTACATATAGAAATACTGTACAGAACATAAATACAGGTTCACTCAAACATTTCCATTTTGTAGGAAAGTTGCTGAWAGATTCTCATTTTGTGCAGTTTGAAGCTTGTAGTTAAAGTTTGGCTGGTTTTTAAACTTTATACGTGTCCTCCTTTAGCAGGATCTGTCACAATCTTGTCCCCGCAAACTCACAGAGCTTCACGATTAATAAAAATAAAACGCGTTAAAACCATCAGCAGAACATGGATGGTTCTTCAGGMTCTTCAGGCGGACACAAAGAACCCATGGGGCTCCCCGTTGAGAGCGTTACAGGTCACAAACCGTTTTGAGCATCAGGAAACTTCTGCGACATCTAGGGATGGGTACCGAAATTCATACTTTTATAAGTACAGACCAAATTCTGTCAGTACTACCGAGTACCTACTCACATAACATCAAACAGTACCATGTTTCAGTACCTAAACCCATCATTGCGACCGTACCGGTGTAAGAATGGTGAGTTTTCCATGCTTGTCCTGAACGCAGCATCGTGTAAGAGCGTAATGATGTCAGCAGCTGCTGCTTCGGTAAACAGAGTTCAGTCTGAACGTAGCCTGAAAGCCTCGCAGCTCCTAAACTCGTCGAACAGACCACCTCTGAATTATCTGCTGGATTAATTATCTTGTGAACACGATGTTCGCTTGCTCAAAGTAAATAAAGTACCGCCACTTTCTTTATTTCATCCAGCATTAAACAGAGACCAGCAGATGCACAAGCAGCCAACTTGAAGTGTTGGGCGCGTTTTGGATGCTCAAAACGTAGCTTGAATACCTTTTATTTATTTTAACTGCATCCTCTTTTGCTTATTTGATTTAAATTTATTTGCCTTCCATGGACCTCCATCTTAGCGGGGAAATGACATCAATAGAAACACGTGGAGCTGGATTTTAATTTGTGTAATAAGACAAAACAGTCTTGTTGTTTTCAACAGTTTTCACTTTAAAGGAATTAAACAACTGATGTCACAATACAAAGAGTTGGATGTTGTCTTGATATTTGTTACATTTTATATATTGAGAAATATGTTAAATAAAAAAATAAGTTTATCATTAAAAAAAACAACACACACGAAGTACCGAAAACTGGTACCGTTGAGTACAGGTACGATTCCCAGGTACCGGATACTGGTACAAAATCGATTGATTTTGTCAAAAGTACCCATCCCTAATGAGGTCAACTGAACACCTGGCTGAGCTCGGCTCTTCACCCAACAACTGGAGGAGTTTGAGAAGAAGCTTCTCGACGCTGCACCACAGGTTTGACGGTGGAGCTGGACTGAAACACCCTGGTACAGGCAGCGGCGTGGGGGGGGGTTTCTATCCTGGGTGCAGCGTGACTGTGGGCGTAGCGTCAAGGGAACATAGAGCTTGGTGAGGGTGCAGGAGAGTTTCTTTTGGGTGTGTAAAATAATCAATAACCGTGTCGCAGCGTCTGGTTTTTACAACAATGCTGAAATGTGGATGAAAGACAGCGAAGCATGAAATAAAAACTGTTTGTGTGCGGATTCATTAGGGTCACCTGCACGCCCGTGAGGCTCCTTTCCCTTACCTGGCAGAGGGAAGCAGGCTTTGAATGGTGGTGATGAAGATGAGCACAATGAAGGCGCAAACCAGGTTGGACTTGAACACCTCGTCCCTCATCTGTGAGTACTGTGAGACAGGAAGAAGACCACAAGGAGAGAGGAAGAGAGGAGGCAGAGCAGGTGAGGGGAAGACGGAGAGACAGGTTTTCAGACAAACGCTGAGGACCGAACAGATCGAAACGCACCAAACACACGGATGCACCGCCACAGACGCATGCCACGGTTCAACCACAAGCGTTAGAGAGAGACAGGAGCTGGTGGGTTAGCCGGGGGGTCCTGGGGAAGGTGTAGAAGCCGACAAGCACAAAGCTAGCTGTTAGCATTTAGCTACAGGTTAGCTGAGACACCGACAGAGAGTGCTGAGAAAAAATAAGTAGTGAAGCTAAACTTAAAAAAACAACTAAAAACAAAACGTTTTTATTTAAATAACAACATTACCAATTTATATAAAAACACGTCAATTAGAGTTAGAGAGTACTAATCAGTTAGAGAGTGCTAATCAGTTAGAGAGTACTAATCAGT